GGGGAGAAAACAAATTTATCCATCATTTTAGAACATTAGCTGGTTGTCTCCCTTAGCTACAGGTGGGCACTACAGTATTGGAGACCAAGATTTGAAGTCTTACATCTGAGCAGCACGTTGTGGCTAGGAACAAAATCATCAATGAGAAATAATTGTCTAAATAACTTTTTATATAGACTTAAGCCTAATGTCTGGGAAGTGTAATCCCTTGAACTCTTAAAGAAATATACTGATGACTTTACTCTTTGGTTATACTTTCCTTTTGGGTGTTTAAGACCATACCATTGGCCCAAATCAATTTATTTTTTACATTTAAAGTCGTTTGAGGATCTGTTCCTTGAGGGTCACATGGGCTTGGGAGGAGCTCCTGGCTCCTTTCTTTTACCAGTTCCCAACTCTTCAGGCCATTTCAGGATATGTTCCTCAGGGTCTCATGGGCTTGGAGGAGCTCTGGCTCCTTTTACCAGTTCCATCTATGTGAAGATAAGTCAAAGGTCCTGCTCTACCATGTCTGGCTTTACTTGGAAGCATGAATGAGATGTTTCCTCTGAGTTGATCCTCCTCTTTGTAGACTGGAAACTGGTTCAAGTCCATCTTGTGAGGTCTCCATGTCCTTACTGAACAAAAGGACAGGTGACTCACCACAGTTAAAGGACATTTTGAGAAATGTTCCATAGTCCCCTGGAACTTAGTCGACCTTGGAGGGCAAGGGGTGAAAACTGTCCTTTAAGTCCCTCTGACCACATTAGTATAGGCCTTAAACTATGGCTGTTAAACATCCAATAATGTTAGTTCCACCAGTCTGGTAGTTTTAATTATTATGTGCTATGTAGATAAGGCTTGGGTAAAAAACCAAATATTCACAGATAAACTACTAATGGAGACCAGGCTGGCCTCAAATTCACAGAGATCCACCTGCTTCTACCTCCCGAGTGCTGGGATTAAAGGCGTGCACCACCACACCCAGCCAGTCTGGTACTTTTAATTACCATGTGCTATGTAGATAAGGCTTGGGTAA